AGGAATAAATGGCAAGAGTCCTTCCTCCAATATTTTGATGTATTTAGTGCACTCCACTTAGCTCGATCTTCCACCAACCCAAATAGCTCCCCAAACCATCACGCTGAAACCACCATGCTTCACAATTGGCTGCAATTTGTTGAGCCAAAACTCTTGGTGAGGCATTCTCCAGACCCATATCCTTCCACTGTCTGAAAATTGAGCGAATCTTGATTTGTCTGAAAACAATACGGTCTTCGAAAAGTCCAGAGGCATGGTCATCATATCACTTGCCCACTTCTTTCGTCTGACTATGTTGGCAGGTCTTAATAAGGGTTTCCATCTAGCTGCTCTGCAACAATAACCCAATCTGTGGAGAATCCGTTGAACAGATTTCGGGCTTATCCCACCAACTTTGGCCACTTCTGCAGTCGTTAATCTGGGATCCATTTCAATGCTCCTCTTGACAGCCCTTTTTGTCCTCTACGATGGACCAGGACGACCCAGATGCTGCTCAGTTCTTTTCTTGCCATATTTCCTGAACTGCACGATGATTCTGTTGACTGTTGAAAGCGTGATTCCCAAATTCTGCGAAATTTCCACCATCTGTTTGACCAACTACCCTTCCTCTAACAAAATTTGACAATTTGAGAGAACCTTGAGTTCTATGCATGATGTAGCAGAAGATAACTAGTGTGCGGACCATTTTCATTTATATAGTGCTCTGTGAACACAAATTAGTTAGCATAAATCAGTTAAATGACGAAAAATTAGGTGTCTATTTACTTGTGACCACTCAGTGTATAAGTAAGTAATTCATGTCAAATTTCATTTATATTGAAGAACATTTAGGGGTTATTCAAAGTAGTTGAAATTTTATGATGTAGCTTGAATTATATATATATACCTATTCTGGGTTGTTCTAACATATCACACAATAAACTAGCACATTATGGAACCTTTCAGTGTATTCCACATTATTCAGAAAGATCCCAAACATTCCATATGTAAATAATTCATGCTGTCACTTTTTACTTCAGGAATATTCTGTATGATATGACAGTAGTTTCTAGAATTTCTATGAGGATGTATAAGCATTTAGGCAGACTCTTCTGTATCATTTCAGCTTACACTGTATTGACATATCATTCCAAATATCTTACAAGAAGTAAGACTTCACATTGGCTGCTTGGTTCAGAAGAAACTGTACTAACAGGAAGCAAATTACTTTCAAATAGTCAAGTGCTGCATGTGTTTTTCAACCATCACCAAAACATTAAAGATGACAGTTTGTGAAAGCTCAAATGTTGTGATCAAGGAGGCTGTAACTTTTTGGAACAAGGTTTGTATTTCAATTCATCCAGGACATCATGCTGTTATCAAACTGGAGAAGCTTTTTGAAAAATGGGCAAAATTAAAGAAAAATTCAAAAAGGAAAACTGAAACAGTTAATGAAACAGAGTTCGTCAATAATCTGGATAACCTTTTTGACATCACTCATAGGGATGCTCTGACCCTGATTACAATCTCAAAAGACAAGGATTTTCTTTTTGTTCAAAGGGAAAGATGATGTTGTTGGTGCATGGGCCAGATAGATAAGGTTCTTTTTAAATGATTTAAGGGCTGAGAAAAGAAGTGAGGTAGGTATGAACAGGAAATGGCATGCAGAACAGGAACAGCAGATCTGGAATGATATTGTCAGTTGTTGTAAATAATTCTATAGCAGTGATGATTAAATTTGTGAATACAGTACCAATAACAGTGATGAGAATAGAAGAGCAATTAGAGATTAATCATCTTCAAAACCTAAAGAAAAAAGGGCAAAAAGAAATATTATCACTCCTAGTTTAGCAGCAGTTATGAACAGAAACAAGTTGAGTGATAGAAAGGCAACATTTGTCCTTACTTCCACAGCTCATAGTCTTGGTTATGACGTCTAGGAGCTAACCATCAACCATTTCTCTTGTAATTCACTTTGATAACACTGCTGTGGCACATTTGCTGGAAGAGTGGAGAGTCACTCATTGTGTAAAAGTGGTTTGCTATACAACAGCAAAGAACATTGGTTACAGAAATGGAGTATATATGCTGTTAGAACAAATAATAAACAATAATCTTCTGTAACTGGCATGCCAATATCATATCTTAGAACCTGCTCTGGCATGTTTTCAAAGACTGTTTGTGGCTTTCCCCTGTCCAGATATTGCAATTTTAAATTGATACCAGCAAGACTGGGAATATATGGACCAGTCCAGTTAAGAAACTGCTGCTAACCATGATGAAGTAGCAAAAGCCACAGAAGAAGTTAAGGACAGTCACTGAGTTTACTACAAGACAACTTAAGGTTAGCCAAACTAGAAACTATCAAGAGCTTCTTGAAGTAGCCATAAACTTTCTTGGTGGCATTCCTTCTAGTGGAGTGCTATTCATAGCACCTGGAATACTGAATCATGCACAATGGATAGCCAAGGCATTATGTGCCCTCAAGATATGGATGTTTATGAGACAGTTTAAACTTAATAGCTGTGAGGAAAGAGAACTCTGTAACATTTGACATCTCTGTTGTTTGAGCCTATCTTAAGGTATGGTTCACTGCTTCTGATGCCATTTCTGTTTCTGGTAATGATTTTAACTTCCAACAATGTCTTGTTATGTATAAGTAAGTGAATTCAGTTCTTTCAAAATCTGCCTGTCAAACATTTTATGGATGTCTATGGTATCTTAATGTGGAACTTATTGATTTGGTATTTTTTGATTCAGTTGTATCCACAGAGACAAAATAAGCAAAGGTAAAGGCATTAAATGAGAAGGAATTCATGAATGAACCTAAAAGCACATCCAGCTGAATATTAGGAAGTCTGAGAACACATAAATTGAAGATGTCATCACAAAGAACACAACAGACTTCTTCAGGTGCCTTGGAATTTTATTTGGATGTCTGGATTATAACCCAGGTTATGAGAAAACTACAAGGAGGCACTACAGATAATCCAACACATGTGGTAAATGACAATGCTGAAAAAGATGTATCCCTTATTGAGGAGTATAATGCCATCATAAGAAAGTGAGAATAAGAGAAACAATTCCTCCTTAAACTTGTGCATGATCATAGAAGACACTTTCCTAACAGCAAAAAGGAAACAATAACAATACAAACGTGACTAATCACACTAAAATCATATAATTATATTATTGTATATACAATGAAATAATCTACTTTAAATAAATAATTTATAAGAGATAACAAACATGTTTTATATCATATAGTACATGCGGTACCAAGCCCTTGCAGTCTAGAATTTCAACCTTATTAAGTAACCTCTAAATACAGTTCAAAATGGATGAAGTTTGACATTTGTTTTCTGTATTTTTTTAAAATTGGATCAAAATTAAGGGTTGAGAGCTTTAGAATTTTTAACCTGAAATTTTACCTATAAATAAACATTTACTTGTATTTCTCTCCATGTATGTGGCAATGATTTAATTACCTGTTACCATACGTTTATTTTTCCACATGTGCCATGATCATATAAATAAAATATACTTTAGTAGACATCTCAATCTGCTTGTATGTCAATCAGCACATTCTGTATATAAAAACCATCCAAACTGTGTACCAATTTTTTCATACTGTAGCCAAATCACTTACGTTACACTAACTGTATATAGAGAAAGAGTGGTTCTAAGTAAATATATGCATAAATGATTTCATACCATGCATATGACATTACATCAGAATTGTTTTTTACAAACATAGCATCACTAAGTATGCAAAGGGATGAGCTTCATAATCATACCTGATATCATAGCCATACATGTCAAGTTCAGGCCGACCATGAACAACCCAGCGAGCCAATTCCCGTCCACAACCTCCTCCAGCATTCATTCCCAAGCTGTTGAATCCACAGCCATGAAAAAAACCTCGCACAACAGGATCCTCTCCAAGTAGAGGTTTATGATCAGGTGTGAAAGATTCTGCAAATATATCAGAAAAATCAAATATATATATATATATATATGACATATCTTTAAGTTTTAGTTTAAATATACATGTGTATACACACACACGCACCTTTTTTAATAGTTTGTAACAAAAACATATAATACTATTTCCACCAAGTATTAATATTCTAAACAATAAAAAGTATCTTACTGCTGGTATTATTTATCCACATGATTAAATAAACAACTGCATGAATCTAAAATTTAACTTACTAATTCATGAATGTTAAAAAATTTAAGTAATACAAACAACATTTGACGTACTTAAGACTATTACATTTGACTTATTAGTTTCAAATATACCTGGTCCACAAACAGTCGATTTAATCCCTGTATTCTCTAAAACTGGCACCCTGTGAACAGCATTCTCAATATGAGTCCCAAAGACATCCCAGTCCAACTCAAATAAACTGAAAGCAAAATTCTTGTCCACCTTTATCAAAAATGAAAAAAAATGTTTTAATGTAAAAAATTTGATCTTTGTCTGAAGAAGAAATTTATGCTACTAAGAACACAGAAGTAACAATTTCAAAAATGTTATTGTGTATTTGTTCCACTTGAACCCAACATGCAAATTCTAGCTCTGAACTACTTATTAAAGATACAGGTCTTTCTAGATATTTGTTTGTTTGTGTGTTGTTAAGCACAAAACTACACAACAGGCTATATTTTCCACCATGGATATCAAAACATGATATTTAGCATAAAACTGCTTCAGATTTACCTTTGAGCCACTGAGAAGCCTTGCTAAATCTAGCTTACACATGTTAACCTTTTTCATGTTCTTATATTTACAAATTTTTTTATACCATAGGTATCACTTTTTATGTGCAAAATTTTCAGTTTTTCCTTATTAAGAAACTAAATTTAAAAGTCATATATATATTACCAAAAGAGTAGTAAATACTCCTATTTTTTTGCATGCACTGCTGGATACAGGGGGGTCTAGACCCCCATTTTGGAAGATTTTTGCTAAAAAAATTGCGAGATTTTAAGGAAAAATGGCAAAATTGACCTAGAAAACCCACCTATACCTCTTTTCCAGCCAGAACCCTTCCTTCTTTTCTAAAAATCTGTATTAGTGCTTGCACTGTATTACTTACATGTAAAAATTAAAATGGACTTGCATAAACTGCAATAATCAGCAATTCTTTGGCATGATAGTCCTAAAAGCAGGAAAATAATCTAGTATAAATTCCTACAAAATAAAAAAAGAAAATCTTTATATATATGTATCTGTAATCTGGTTTCAGTGATTAGATTTTGGATTTCGTGTGGTAGTCCTTGAAGTAGGACATTTCACACAATCCAATGTTGCAAGAAAGACATCAGAATGTGGTTTCTTTTCTGATTTTTTATGCCACAGGCATCCCTTTTTTAGAGCAACACACTACATGCATTCTTGTGGGAAGCTGTTTCTTTTCAATGAAGGGTACATTTTTGGCAAAATGGTGTCCTGCAAGATGCTCCTGATTTCCTGATAGAAGAGATGAACGTCCTTATTTTGGCCTTTCTGTCACCTTCTCTTAGGTTTCTCAACATGTTCCAGTTTGTCCCCACTATTTTGATGGAAAATAACATACATTCCTTAATGATTGCTCCAAGTGGTGCCAAAAAATCTTCTTGTAATAATGCTTTTGCTGTTTCTGTATAATTGAATAGAACATCGTGCCCTGATTTGTACAATCCACTACAAGCATAGTATGATTATAATTTATTACAACTTTGGGCTTTTCTATCTCCTTCACTCCACATTGAGTTATTTTGGACAATGTTGCATTGTGGATGGTACTTGCTAAATATATGTGTTTCTTACCTTTCCATTTTAGTACTCTCATCTTTTCTCTCTGCCAAGCACTATGCTCACCTTTAGAAAATTGTGATATTTTCAAAGCAGCTGGAAAGTCAGTCTGGTTACATTTGATAGTTCCATACACATCAGTTTTATGTGGTACAAACAAATTATATAGGTGCAATGATAATAGCTGTCAAATGTTACACAGTAACCTTGGTTGAGTAAAAATTCCATGAAACTCAACACAGAGAAAGTAGAGAGCCCATAGTTACTGTACTTCTCATACAATATAGTACCCTGTGATGATGTTACAATCTCAAATATACAGAAAATTAGACAACAGTTTCTGGTTCACCTCCCAAATTGAGTGTGGGCAGAATGATTTTCAGGATCAAAGCTTTCACTGAAATGGCACTCTTTCATTGTTTGTGTCAGAACCATGTGATTTTTTATCCAATATAATTTTCGTTTCAGTCTTCCAAGCACACTTTGTAAAAATGAAAGTTCAAAAAACACCCACAATTCATCCTTTGTCACAGGCACCCACATGTTTAATTGAGAACGAGGCAACAGGTTGGTTTCTTCAATGATTATCTTCATAATATTGTCATCCAAAAATAATTTAGATGGGCAAGGGGATCAGTTACATCATGCAAAGTTATAATTTTCCTAAATGAAAAGTATTTCCAATAGGTACTTCCCTCTTCTCACAAGATTAGCTTTTCTCGTTATGTGCTGCCCTCTGTATGCAAACTTTTCAGAAACACATGCCACAAGCCTTCATCATTCCTCTGTTGGAATACAAAGTTCTAACATGTTTCTTATGCAAATCGTCATGTGTCACTTCACCAATAGGAGAGCACCACTATCATGTGACACATGTGACTCCCTCTACACACCACTACCGAACTACCACTCCAAAGTTTGGTAGAAGATGTGACCACTGGAAGATTGTGGGGAGGATGGGTGGGAAGTGTGAGAGGAGGGAAGTACCTATAAGAAACAAATTTTCATTAAGAAAAATTATAACTTCTGATAAGGTACTCTCTCTTTCTCATAAGATTAGCTTGAATCCCACATTGAAATGGAGGAGAGACCAGTGCAAGGGAAGCACTTTATCCATTTGGAAAGCCCTGTCTGCTCCCTCACTTACAGCTTACGAGTTTTTATTGCTGTTGGGGATGTGGTCCTCCATGACCCCTCTCATACCCTGGGCTGGGCCCATATGCAGTTTCTTCAATGTGTCCATCAAGATCAAGGGAACCTCGCCCAGGATCCCTTGGATACTTCTATACCCATTCTCTCATCCCTTGTTGACGATCTCTATTGGTGGTTGAAGAAGACCCACACATTAGTGGGGGTCACACTTCCTCCTCTGTGGCCAGATTGACATCTGTTCACAGATGCATCCCTTCAGGGCTGGGGTGCCTAGGTGGATCACTAGGAGGTTTCGAAATGTTGGTCTGTTTGGAGGAGAGTTCTATTCACATCAATGTTCTCAAAATCCTGGCTTTTTGTTGGGCTTTGGATAATTTTCTTTCTGTTGTCAACTGCCAGCTGGTTATTATCTATTCCAACAATTCTACTGTGGTGGCTTATATCAATCACCAAGGCAGCACCAGGCCTAGATCCCTGTTTTTGCATTATGGATCTTCTTTATTGGGCCCACAAACATCGAATTTGTTTGATGGTATGTCGTGTATCAAGTGCTTTCAATCTTGTAGCCAATCAACTTTCCTAATTTGATTGCATTTATCCCATGGAGTGGTCTCTGCATCCTGCCATTTTTTTGGTGATTCTGTCAGCATCTAGATTTGACCCATATCAATGGCTTTGCTATCATCTCCAATCATAAATTACCTTGGTTTTGGTCCCTGGTTCCTCATCCTTGAGCCTTGGCTATTGATGCTTTCAGCCAGGATTTGTCTCATCTTTTTTTTTATTTTTACCCTCCAATCCGTTTACTTCATTGGGTAGTCTCCCTCATTCATGCCACTCTATGCATGGTCCTTCTGATTGCTTTTTACTGGCCACTCAACCTTGGTTCCCTCAGTTGCTCCAACTGCAGGTGGTCCCTCCTCTTCCCTTCCATCCCGATCTGCTCCACCAACCTAAGTCACCGTTGTTCTATCCCACACCATCCATTTTTCATTTTCATGCCTGGCTTTTGTCAGGTCCTTGGCAAGGAGTTCCAGTTTCTCTTACAGAGTAGCTTCACATTTAGCCCTTTAAATTTGCCCTTCTTCTTTGGCCATCTATCAACCCAAGTTGAGCTTTTATCACTCCTGGGCATTGACTAAGGGTTTCTGGGCTTCTCACCTAATGGTTGCCTGTATCTCATTGTTTCTTATGTGACTCTTTGAGAGGAGTTCCTTCGGTCTCCTCGATTTCGGGGTTTTGGGAGGCATTATCCCATACCTTCCATTTTTCCAGTTTTTGCAGGGTTTTTGTTTTTCCTATCCTTTCCATGTTGATCTGTTCCTTCTGGATATGTCGGCCACTGAGACATCCATTGCTTCCAGACTGGGACATTAATGTGGTCCTTCATGCCACATTAATGTACCTCCATTTGAACCTCTGTCTATGTGTTCCCTGTTTCACCTCTCTTTGAAGGCATATTTCCTTCTCCTCCTGGCCTGTGGACATCATAGGTCGGACATTTTCGAGCTCAATGTTGCCAGGACCTTGTACCCTCCTCCTACCTTATACTTTATCCGGATTGTGCTTTCCTTCCTAAGACCTCTGCAGCTCGAGAAGGTCAGTTCTCCTTTTCCCATATCTGCCTATCCTTTATATCTCATCTTTATCTTCTTTCTCATCTGAATAGGTTCCACTGTCCTGTTCATGTGCTCCATTGTTATATTGCTCACATGGCTTCCTTCCAGGGTCCTCATTCCCGCCTTTTTATCCCTTGGCAACCTTCCTTTTCCCGTGATCTTTCCTTGGTTACCCTGAACAATTGGGTTCCACATTTGATCCAGTTGGCCTATTCCTCCTTGTTTCCTTTGCAGCATGATCTCTTTTATGTTTCTTCACCTCAAATCCATCACCTTACCTTCTCCCTTGCCACTCATCTTCATTGGCTATTGGAGGATATTTTATTATCGGGAATGTGGATGACTCTGCACACGTTCATCTCCAACTACCTACACCACTGTTTCTGCTTTCTCGGGGTATTGCCTGCCACCTGTGGCTATTCTACAAACTTCAGCGTGGCTGTGACACAAAGTAAGTCCTTACTAATGCTTTCTTTTCTTTCAGCTTCACTTTGGATCCCACTCTGTGGCAAGCAGTGCCTGACCAGGTTTTCTGTCTGTACTCGGAATGGGCTCCACTTAGATGGCTATAACCATTCACAGACATCTTGTTATCAAATCTGCACTGTAAGCCATGTTGATTCTTATACATTTTCCATGGCTATGTACACTCACTCTTGAAATAGGGTGTTTTACAAAATCACTAGAGTGTAAATTCCTCGTGATAATTGCGTCATAACATGCCTGTCCCGGACCATACCACCCATGAATAGCATGGGTAAAGCAGAAGGAGATTGCTGCCCATCCCTACATGCCTAGGTTGAATAAATTGATGTAGTTTGCTTTTAAAAATAGGGTTTTGTGATCACCCATTGCACTGTCTCGGTTGTGGCAGTCCCTCCAGACTCCACTACACTCTTTTTTCCCCTTTCTTCAAGTGGAGTACAAGAGTCCTTACTACTTATCAGTTTCAAGCCACTGGGGTCAATGACCATGGACACAACTTGCTGAATATGTTCCACAGAGATGGCTATAACCATTCAGTTCAGAGTAGGGCAGTGGTGTTCTGCCAATGTAGAGGGAGTTACAAGACCCTCCAGAAGAGTAACTAATTTCTGGAGTTGAGATGCCCAAATGCAATTCACTCCTCCGATTTGGTGTCCTCCTCCTACCCTCACATAGATGTCAGAACCCAGTTAGTGAGGTTTTGGAGATCAAGTGAACCAATTACATAAGTCCTCACACAGGTTTCGAGTTATCTATCTCCCTTCTCTCAACATTTCTTCTGTGTTGTGGGTCACAGAAGATCTACATGGCCCATATCCACTTCTGTCCTGAATTTTCCCTTGTTGGGTGATGAGGTTGTTACCAATCTGGAATTGTTTTGTGTTGGTTTCATGGTTGCGAGGGTTGGGTGCATGTGATACTTCCCTGGTATTAGCCACCCTGTGAGTTCCTGGAGTCGAATGTTAGGTTCCCTCTTGACTCTGGGACTTGAGGTGAAGACAGTATGATCTTAATCCTACCCTTGCAAGGATTTTGGTACCCAGCAATTGAGGTTTTGGATGTAGTTGACTTACTGAATATGGTCTGTTGGACCCTAGCCACTCTACACCACAAGACACATCCTCAATTGCCCACTTTCCATTGTATAATTGAGCAATTCTAATTTTTTAAGATCACATTGCTAAACTATCCTCTCCCATGCAGATGTGCTCCTTTCATATTCCACCATGTCTGGTCCTCCTGATCATGTTGATGTTCCTGGTGGAGAAAAACCTGGCTCAGATGTGGTGTGGTGCCCCTCATTAGATCATGTGATCTGTTCCTATAATTTCAGATGTATTCAGCGTAGGACAAAGGAAAGACTTCTCCAATTTGACCAATTAGCCCACCGCACAGCTTCAGCCAGAAGCTGACGGTTGTGACAGGCCAATTCCCATTTAGAATGAGCAAGAAGAGTCCAGTCGTCAATATAAACATGGAAGTACAATCCCATGGCATGAATATGTCGAGCAAAGGAGCAGACTACACAACAAAACACATATGGTGATGAGGCTAGGCTGAAAGGTAATGTGCAAAACTGGTATGCAACCCCTAGATGGACACTCCGCCACAGGAATGTGTAGATAAGCATCAGAAACATTTACCTTGGTCATCCAATGACCGGGAGAAAATGTCTACCAAAGAGAAAAGTATGTCTCTATTGTAAAGTGAGGAGTGTGATCATACTGATTGAGATGGGATAAATTGATAACAGGATGCCAGTCCCTGGTCTTTTTGGGAACTACAAACAGGTGGGAGTAAAACCTTGGGAACCTGGTGGAGCTGATTTGATAGCCTTTTGTGCAATGAGGTCCTGAACTGCCCTGACAGATGATGGCACGTCAAGAGATCCTGAGGAGAAGGGAAGGGGAACACTGGATAAGGGAAGAAGGGAGAGAAAGGAGGATAATATATCTCTCCAAGAGCACTCTGTGAACCCAAACATCTGTGAGAAAAGGTCCCCATCAATGAATAGAATTCAAGAGACAAGCCTCCACTGGGCCTGATCCAAAAACGTAGTCACTGGTACTGCTGTTGGCGGATCGTGCCTCATTGGGTAAATCGTCGAACTGTGGGACAGGAAGATGTTGGGTAGGGAAAAGTCGGGACACAGGAACTGGTGCCTCACTCATCCCCAACTGTGCCAAACGAGCTACCAAGTTAGCAAGGGTAGAATGTTGGTGGGCCAAGGCCACCTACAACTTCCAATATCCCACATTGAAAAGATGGGGGGGTGGGGGGCAGTTTAGGCGCATAACATAGGAACCAAGCAGAAAGTGACCATCCAGAATGAACAGATGTGCTCAGAGATGAAAACGAAGCACATTTGTGGGGAACTGCACAACTTCTGGAACAGGTACGCTCTTCACCCAGAAAGTATGAAACAAATCTGTAAAAGGAAATTAGTTGCACAAGTGTAATATGTTCTGAGAAGTGCAAGCTGTAGCAACATATAAAAAGAATTAGTTATGTGCATTCCCAACCTCAACCGGACAGACAAGGTTTCATAACTCGTCCTTGACAGTAGGAGGTTGAGGATAAAAAAAAATTGTAACATCAACAATGTGGCTAGAGTATGTTGACCATGTTATGTACACCCATCAACCTCAGTCATAAGGAAACAGAGTGCCATACATCAAGGAACTGGAGTTATGAAGAGGAAGTGAGCTTTTGGTCAAAACTGGACAAATTCTCAAAGCAACTATAACAGTACAACAAACAGAACTCTGCATCATGGGGTCATGGTGTTGTCTAAACTCCACTGCAAACACAAGACAATAGCCGTAACCAATATTATGAGCAAAATCATAACTGTAAAAGCAGGGAGGAAACATTCTGCATCTGGAATTACGAGGAAGGCATGGAACATTCACTCAACCATAGGAACAGTGTACATATGTCCTGTAGCCAACATTACGAGGCAGACAAAGTCCCCCAAACTCACGTAAAGAAACTCCTGCAACAGGAATTAATAAGAAAAGAGACATGTGAACAGGACATAGTTACCTTGAGCCTGGCATTATAAAAGAGGATCCCACATAGATGAGACTCACTCCAACCAAAATGTGTCCACCTCGGAAAAAGTATCCATGAGTGGATAATCATGAATATGTATGGCAAATAAATTTTGAAACTCAATCAGGAGGAGGCCTTTATGATCTACCACCACAGCAATTGGGAACTGGGAAGTGGTAAGGACTCGTATGTTCTACTTGAAGAAAAAAGGGGGAAAAATGTGGTGGGGAGTCTGGAAAAACGTCACACCAAAAACAGTGCAATAGGTGTCCATAATTTCCTACTTTGAAAAGCAGACCATCCCAGATTTATTCGATCAAAGGGTCAGCAGGGATGGACAGAAATCCCCTTCTGCTTTGCTCTGGAAGTCCATGACTGATGGTCCATCATAAATTGAAGATTATTGATATCTAATATATATATCATTGAGTTAGCCATCAGTGGTCTTGCAAAAACACACCATTTCTACAGTGAGCATTATGTAGCAAACAGTAAATCATGTGGGTGTGAAGCAAAAGTATATCTGACCAGGCAATACCCACTGCAGAGTGGATCCCTATAGCAGTGGCTAAAACTAGAGTTGCTGAAATGAAAGGAAGTGATAAAGACTTACCCCAGACAAAGGTGAATGGATGTATGTTGTAGAATCACCATGGGAGAGAGACAATATCTATCAGAGGAAGATACATCCAGATCATGCAGATAATGAGCAACAAAGATATTGGGAGTAGTTTACATTACAGCCTGGATGATCTCCTCCAACAGATGGCGAAGGTGAGAAGCCAAAGATATGGTGATATGATGAGAAAAAATATTGTGGAGATGGTGAGCTTTCATGGATAAGTCCAAATACACCAGCCTAATGAGTTAATGTAACAGAGGGTTGATTGTGGGAAACAGAAGGGTTCCAGGAAATAAAAGTCAGGAACTTGAACCCAAAAGGAGGCATGCCATATAACACCATAAGGAACAAACCTGACAGAAGAGCCAATCAGGATAAAAAATAGAGTACCAGTGGGAGATGAAAGTTAAGGAAATGGATGTGAAAGCTAAAGAGCTTTCATGGGCTGCATAGGTCTGAGGGAGGATGGATTTTCCAAGATATAGCATGACATAAGAAGAATGGTACAAGAAGTGGGCAACATTAAAGGCAGAAATATCTGATATAACCAATCATCTAGGAAGAGTGCAAAAGACTTATAGACTGTTGGGCAAGAGTTTGTACCCCCTCCCCCTGACAAAACATATAAAGAGCCAAGGTTAGTCCGAACTGTAGGGCCCTAAAGTAGAAAATTCGACTTAGAGCAATAAAGAACTATTGACACAGTGAGCACTGTTAGGATGAACTATGAGTTGTAAATTAGGAGGAGAAAATGAGGTTTCCAGTATCACAAACGTATGAAAAGGAGCCAAAGCCAAGCTCAGCCCTATGAATGGGAAAGAAACAAACAAATCAGCAATGTAACAAAGCAAAATATTTAAGCCCTACACTAATGAAAATTAGTCTTTGCTTTTAATCTGTCTTTACAGAAATTTGTTTATTAGTCAGTTAGTTCAGTCTGATGAACAATGATCTTGTGTTTCAACGAGTAGAGATAAGAAATTAGACAAGTAATATTTGCACTTAGATATAGTTTATTTGTAAAGTTAGACCTTTCAATAAACATTGGCTATACTAACCATGGAACTTCAAGTGGAAGAAATAAAATATTTTTATTAACAAGTGGATTAGATTTTGCATTATTTTTTTAACCAAATAATTCAAAAGTACAACCAAAAACAGAAACATTTAGAACAACATTCAGATATTTAACTTTAAAAAAAGTTTCAAACACTAAATAAATCTAAAAACGTTTCTAAGATTATGTTCTTATGTAGATTTAAATTTTTTGACAATAGACATGTCTACATGTTTTGATGCATATAAAACTTCTTTGCTTTATTTATAAAACTTGATTTCTCTACTCTCTTTCATTTTCTTCTGTATTACCACATTAAATGTGATATTATAATAAAAAGACATCACGCAAAGAAAAAAATCTATTTACTTACATTTTCCCAAAATATAGGGTTGGGTTCATACCCTCCAATAGATAGTGCATCTCCTTGCAGACGAAGGTAAACTGACAAATCATGATCACGAGCATTAGGCATATTCTGAATACCTTCAATTTTATTGGTAACCACATAGGCATGTTTCATAGCTATTAGAGGAACTTTCACTCCAGCCATCTTGCCTATATATGGGCCCCATACACCTAAGAAAAAAAACAACTAGTTATGTCCCAATCTTTCTATTATCAGTAAACTGGCTGGAGGTTAATAGTGTATTATACAGTAGAATTAGCAGTCAGTGACAAATAAAATTATGACCAACTTGCATCAAAATATGGCTAGCTTCTATGACTGGCCATGAATTTGGAACTATCACTGTTTCAGAAACAGTAGCCAAATCACACTGATAATTAAAAATTAAAATTTCATATTAATACTACAGAGTGTAAGTTATCAAATTTTATTTCATGGTATCTGATCTATTTGAATAAGATTGTCAAGGTCTTTGACACAAAACAAACTAAGCATTTTCACTAAAAAGTTAAACAAAATACAAACATAAAATTAAATGCATAATTTTTCAAATAACTTGCTGAAAATGTTTTTTTTTATTCACTGCTTATACTGAATAATTCAAAGGCATCCCTAAATTATATACAAGAAGTAAAACAAAACAGGTTTAGGTGACAACAGTTGTGTAATTTCACCTCATTAGTAGATTTGTGCAAGTTGTTTTCTGATAAGTCAATATGTTCATTGGTGTTAACTTGCTAATTACACACTTGTGTTTTACTACACAACCAGACAGTGAATGAGAATTAACAGTGGATTAGTCAATCATGATCATTATAATGACTTACAAAGTCAATACAGAGATAAGAAGAAAAAATGTAAGTTAAAATTTTACAATAATTGCAGCTTAAAGAGAATTTGGTGACAGCTGTCCATTATTACACTAAATTGTGACTAAACAAAACAAAATCAGCAGCCTGTAGGCTACCCTGTCACCTTACCCAAAAACAAGGAAGACAAATGATTTGCTGGGGCCTCAAGCTTTCTAAAGCCAGTACTGATTCACTGTTGACATTGCAACGAACTCAAGAGATTTAGCTAGCCTGGAATATATTGTATTGCAGGAATTGTTAGAACAATGAAGTCCTTTGAGTGTAGTTTACTCTTCAAACAAGTAAGCAATTAAAATACCTAATGCAATTTTGTTTTGGAATAATTTAACTCAGTTTTTCAGTTTTTTCAATACATCTTGAAGCATAAGTTGAATATTAGTAACAAGATTCATGCAATAAAGATATGCAGATGATTTTCTTTTTTAAACAACGTTGACAAAAATTTTTTTTTTTTTCAAAAGCCATAAGGTAAATGTGTTTAATTTTCTAAATACATAATTGAGAGATTTTTAGGTTTTGTCTTGTTTTTGAATTTTACACAAAGCTACATGAGAGTTATCTGCTCTAGCAATCCCTAATTTAGCAGTAATAGACTAGAGAGAAGGCAGCTAGTCAACACCACCAATCACCAACTCATTCTTTTAAAGCTTAATTGAATTTTTTGTATTTACTAACATAACATAGTACATTCAGTTACTGTCCTGCCAAGTTTAAAGCTTACCCATGGGAAATGTAGTATTTAAAATATAATAAATCACAATTGATCACTCAATGTTCATAAAATACACTAATATGATAATACTCAGTTTGAATAATATTTTTTAATTAACACTTATTAGTTGATAACATTGGTTTTGTGTTATTAACCATTTTTTTTACGATTCTTAACATTAGCATATGTCTTAATATCCATTAAATTTCTTGGAATTATATTGTTACGTCTCCGTTTGTTAATTGATTTTCCGTAACTTCGTTCCGACGAAACTTAAGCGACACAAGTTCTTTACTTAATAAAACTGGTTTATTCTTTCCGAATACAACTTTACCGATACACTCAACTTCAACAATCGCGCTAAACAAACGCTATAACAACGAACGTGCTCAATAATACTTCTGACTGCAGATCAATTACTCACTGTCTACACACATGACCGCGTCACGTTGTCCCCCTTTCATATATACTAGCCTACCCCAATCTAGTAA